ACGTGTCGGGCGGAAAAATGGCCACGGACCACGTGTCAGGGGTAGAAAAATGGCCGCGGACCACGTGTCGGGCGGAAAAATGGCCACGGACCACGTGTCAGGGGCAGAAAAATGGCCGCGGACCGTGTCACGGGAGGGAAAATGGCCGCGTATCCTGTTCGTATCCCAAGGCGGAGTTCACAAACCGAAGCAAAATTTTGCAGCTGGAGCTGGTCGTAACCCGAAAAGTTCGTTAACAGAAGCATTCGTAACCCGAGGTTCCACTGTACTTTACAGCAAGAGAAGATGACATTACAGAGACCAAAGGGACATTTTGACACCGACTGTTACAAGGATACTTATCTCTTATATACTGTAAACAATGGAATCCCACCATTCCTTGTTGAATAATGATTTGCTACTTTGCATTATGAAGCAATGGATTTTATCAGAAATTTTCTCAAGCAATGCTGTAGTCCAATCTTATCATACCATCCATCTGCTGAGATATTGTCACCATATGCTCTTATTGTATTTTAAATAATATTTATTTCTTATTTTTACTGTAAACTGCCCAGAGTCACTTCCTAATGAGATGGGCAGTGACCAAATTTGAAATTTAAATAAATACATAAATAAGTAAATATTTCCATTGTCTAATGATAATTAATTTGGCTGCTAAAAGTAGAAATTAAATTAGCTTTCACTTTGTAATTCTTTTTCTGACCATCAAATATATGTAGTAAACTTAATTTTGGAGAAAATTCAAAACTAAACTGAAACTAAACTTCTGTTTAGTTATATATGATATTTCACTAAATCCTTTCTTCTAAAAATCTGAAACTTTATCACATTCCCACCAAAAATGAAAGAATGTTCCCTTACAGTTTACAACCTTTATAAGATCTATACAACATTCTTATTGGAGTTTGATGACACTGACGTAAAAAGATATATTTCCTGTAGAGTTGCTTATAAGCATTCCCCAGGCTGCCATAGAAATTGTTAGTTCCATCAAAATCTATTTCAAATAAGGCCTGATGTATTTTTGAAATTATAGCTTTAGGTTCTATAAAGAAATTGAACACTGATTTTTCAACATTAGATAGATGTCTATTACCAGTCTCCATTATTTTTATTTTGCAATTATAAATTGATTTAACAATACAAAAGTGATGGCATTTTATGTTCTAATTGTTGTTCAACTTGGTCCAAATTATGAAGTATTGTGTTGTTATAAAAATACTTTTTTCTATAAAGGCCTTTTTCTCTATATGATTTCAATTGTGTGAATATTTCTTGATTAAAACTTAAAACTTGATTAAAACTTAGATGCCTAAAAAAAGTCCTGGAAACCTCTTTCTCCACATTCATCCCATTACTTATCTAAAGCTACTTTTGAGTTCATTTGTTTTATGAAAGTCTGTTTGGAAGGGGAAAAAAACAGATTTAAATTCTTACCCAAGAACTGAGCATTCTCCATCTCAATCCATTCCTTTGTTGGATCTTCCATTATAAAAGGAATACTCTGGGTTAGCTGAGCTGCTTGGTAGTATATTCTTAAACGAGGAATGACCCATTCTACCTTAATTTGCAGTAAGCATAAAATGTTTATTTTTATTATATTGTACCTTGATTTAAACAAAATAATAAAAGGTGTTTTTTCAGTTGGTTAAGAATTTTATCAGGAAGAATTTGAAATAGATACATCAGCCTGGGGAATAACATCATCCTGGTTTCTGCTTTATGGCCTAAAACGTTAAGATAACTCTTGTTCCAACTTTTCATGTCCTTTTTTTTTTTTAATAGAGCCATAATTATTTTTTTGGTAGCGCCATAATTGTTATTGAATTGCTTATTTGAAATCCTAGATATATTAATCCTAGGTATTTAAAGATTTTATATTCAAGGGGAACTTCTAAAATATTGGATATAACTGTTTGCTTATGAGGTAGAATTGGAATGCAGATGATCATAGGTTTTTAAAAATTAATTGTTAAGCCACAGACTCACACAAATCCTTGATGTTCTTTTTTTCATGAGCTGGGAAGTGTGTGTTGCATCAGAGAGTGTCACACTTATATCAACAGCGAATAAATCCAATAGATAATGTTCGTCCTCTCTATTTGTTTTTTGATGGAGGCCATGGGGAGAAGAAGAGTGACATAATGATATCTTCAAAGGGAAGGGGCTAGGGATGCTGGGATCCTTTTTCACTTTTAAAAAGTATTTGTGTGAATACTGAACTGTGAGATCTGTTTTAAAGTTTATTAGAATCATGATACACCTATTTCTTTTAGTGCTTGGGTATTGGGCCATCCAGTGTTGGAAAAAACAGGAGCCATTATTTCTAGCTATTGCTTTCTGCAGATATTTGTGGACCTAATTCTCAAATAGATTAATGAAAAATGTCATTTTGTATGATACATGCCTGCTTTTATCTGCAGAGGAAATGGTTTCCAGGAAATCCTCTTCTTCTGTAGAGTCCTTCAGCATGGTTTCTCATTCTGTGGACATCCCTCCAGGAGAGAGCATCCCTGAATTTACGGAGAAGCCTCATCCAGTAACAGTTACTGAAGGTAACCTCTCATTCCCCCTCCATATCAATTCCCCAATTTAATATTTGCAGAAGTACTGGGCCACAACTGCCTGATTCTCTGCCACATTTATGTTCAAGAAGAGAGAATAAGTAGTTTTTTGAGAATACCAAGATTTCCAGCATTCCCCCTCCCCCCATGGAAACTCTTCTACATCCCAAAAGGAGCTGAATTTGGGCATGAATGTCGATGGAGGGGAAGGGACAGGAAATTGGAAAGGAGGGGTTGGAATGAAGTCACCCAGACAGGAGCACTCCACATTTTGCTGTAGGTTTGATTTGAATATCCCAAATTCATCTCACTATGAAAAGCTGGAGCTGGTCATATGAAAAGACTGCTCCACTGTTCTTCTGCCAGTAGAGAATACTAAATTGTTTGATTTGTTTGTTTATTGAGTTTCTAGGCTGTCCGACTCCTAAGCGACTCTGGACAGCTTCACAAGTTAAAAGAACATATAAAAACAATCAAATCCAAGGGATAGCTTAATCTCCAGCCACATCTCCCCCAGCTGAAAAGGGACCACCCAACACCCTGTTAGCCCTGGGGAAAAAGCACATTTATAGGGATCACTTGAAGGTGGGCAAGGGGGGAGCCTTCAAATATTTGGGGGGATACTGTTCCAAAGGGCAGGTGCTGTGACAGAGTAGCCTCACTTCCTAGGTCCCACTACACGACATTGATGGAATAATTAAGTCAACTCTCTTGGAACCCACAGGGTGGGTTAACACTACAGGAGAAAGATAGTCCCTCAGATAGCTAAGCTCTATACCATGTAGGGCTTTATAGGTAACAACTAGTGCCTTTAATTGCACCTGCAACTGGCAACCAGGGCAGCTCACCTAGCAGGGGTGTTTCAAGGGTATAGCAAGGCTTGCCTGTCACTGCTGTTGCTGTCACATTCTGGACCAGCTGAAGTTTCTGAGTGGTCTTCAAGGGCAGTCCCATATAGAGTGCATTGTAGTACAGTAAATCCCCCCATGTGGTAACTAAGGCATGAATGTTGTAAGGAGGGCTTCTCAATCCAGAAATGGGCACAACTGGTGCACAAGCTGAATGTGTCCAAAGGCCTTCCTGGCCATAGTTTCCACTGCTTCTCAAGCAGGAGCTGAGAGCTCAGGAAGATCCCCAGATTGCTCACCAGTCCTGATCAAAGGTGGAAGGTCCCTAAAACCTGATCCTCCCAGTTCTGGGAGTCCCCACAGCCACTTAGTCTTGCTAGGGTTGAGCCTGAGCCTGTTCCTCCCCATCCAGGCCCCAATAGCCTCCAGACAGTGGGACGAGACTTTGCCTGCATCTCTTGGATAATCAGAGGTCAAGATGTACCAGTGAGGATGTACATCTTGGGGTCAGGTATTATCATCAGTATGCTGATGATACCTGACCCCAACAGATGGATGACCTCTCCTGGAGATCTCATTTAGTTCTTAAACAGGAAGGTGAGAACATCCAATCCTGAAGCAGCCTGCAAATTGGGGGCAAATGTGCAAACCTGGCACATTCAAAGTAATTTGTTGTTCAACAGCACATAATTCAAATCTCATTCTGTGTTGCTTGCCAACAGGAGATAAAGCGATATTCCGAGCCAAAGTGATAGGTAACCCCAAGCCCAGTGTTACATGGAAAAGAGAAAATGGGTTGCCAATGAAAGAAGGATCAAGGGCATTTTTTGATGGCATCAATAAAGAGTATGTCCTCAAGGTAAAAATGTGTGGCTTTTAAAAAGTTTCTTCTCTCTCTTGCTTCATTCTCTGCTTCACAGTATAATGCTCTTTTAATTTTCAATAGTGATCTTCAACCCTGCAATTTACATTAGTATGAGATTAAAAATTTGGGACAGAATAAGGGTATTTAGTGAATCCTGGGTACTGCATTTTTTAAAATGAAGAAAAGCTACAGCATGGAAAGTGTTCATGTTAGATTAAATGAAATTCTTTATTTAAAGAGAAACATTTCATTCAATATTATTTTTTTATTTATTACTTAAATTTATTATAACCTCCCAACTCCGATGGACTCTGGGTGGTGTACAACCCCCCCCCCAAATCCATAGAAACAGATAAAACCTAAAACCACACAGACAGCCAAGACTAAAACGATCTAAAACAGTACAAATCAAACAAAACAAAACATGTTATATTCAACATTACATTAACATTACATTTATTTCATTAATTGCTTTTCTTCTTTCAGTTTCCCTGAACAGGCATACACACATGCAGAGATTCATGTGATGAGGGAAAAGCCTTCCCCCAGGCGCTCAGCTTGTAATTTCAGGCAACATCCAAAATCAGGGTCCCATTTATTGGCTGTTCTTCAATAAGGGCATTTGCATAGAGTCTTTTTTAAGTGTGAGGAAGTTTTTAAAAAATATATTTAAAATTATAAATTATTATTATCATCATCATCACCATCACCATCATCATGATTTTGTTTTGTTTTCCAAAGATGCATTGGAAGGCTTTGAATATATGCTTACTGTAATCATCATGATGTTAAAGAGACAAAGGAAAAGTGCTACAACCTTTACTAAGAGCTTTTGCCTAAGATCAAAGTCTAAGCTTTAGAGCAGTGTTTTTTTCAAACTTGGCAACTTTAAGATGGGTAGACTTCATGCTGGCTAGGGAATTCTGAAAGTTGAAGTCCATATATCTTAAAGTTGTCAAGTTTGAAAACACAGCTTCAGAGCCCTTATCTTTCATGGATCATCTTTAATTTTGTTTCTGGCTTTACTTTTACATACTCTGCAACATTTTGAATCAAATGCTATAACCTTCCTTGCAGAGTTTATTCCAATGTGCTCTTCACAGGATCTTCCACTGAAGTCTTTACTCTGTAGCTTTACTTTGGAATTGCCTTTGCTCACCTCTCCTTCTCTGTAGCTCAGAGGAAAATTCTCTGCAGCAAATGCAAAAGTAGTTTTTAATGAAACAGAGGATGGATAAAGGGTGGAAGTGCAATTGTGACTTTCATCCCATTTTCCCAATTAAGGTTCCCCTAGTTGCCTTTGTCTCTATGGTTTCAGATGCATTTTTACAAGATAATCTTGCATGTGTACCTGTTCTCTACACAAATCATACCTTTTAAAAAAAAAGCCTCTTTCTTTCATCTTATTAAGACTTTTACTGAATTAAAATATGTCCACTACCTAAGGGCTATAGAGAGTATGCCTCATTTGACCTCCAGAGCACTGAAGGTGCCTTTATTTTGGTCTCTGTGTTGCTTTTTCATTGCAGATAGAAAACCTCACAAATAGTGATGCGGGCCTTTATAAGTGTGTGGTTTCCAACAAGCATGCTGACCTCATCTATACAGTGTCCTTGATTATAACTGAAAGTAAGTACGAAGCATAAATCCAGATGGTTGGAAAGAAAAATGATATCCCATTTACAAAAGAGAATCAACCCTGTAGCTTTTCCTTGAATAAAGAACCTGGATGATCCGTGAGGAATATGTAATAAGGACCACAGATCTCTGGCCCATAATTGCGCCACAACCCGCCTCCCCCCAACTCAGCCAATTCTAAATGTGTTGAAAAGACTGCCATGGGATATCCAAAGCGTCCACCCCTTGCTTCTCTTACATTCTTGGCTGTTTGAACTAATCCTCCTTCTTTTTTCCATGACTTTTTTAAAGGCCAAGAAAAGCTGGATTTCAAAAAAATGCTGAAAAAAAGGTGAGACGCTTTCCTCCCCTCCCTTCTAGCGAAGTAAACTTAATGTTAGCACAATTTCTTAAGAAAGGTAATCTCTCAATCTTCCCCTCTTGGGGGCTGCAACAGAACGGTGGGTAAATTGTGGAGTTAAGAAAGAAGACATTTCCCTTCCTGGAAATGTAAGTTAGCTAGTTAGCTAGTTAGCTAGTCAGCTAGCTAGTTGATTTATATAGCCATCCATTGTATGTATATTGTATTTTAATCATAGGGCATGCAGTTAAAAAGAAACAGACAAAAACTTACCATAAAATTTGAAATATAATGAAACTTGTGCGGAAAATTCTGCCAAGGCAATTCAACAAACAAAACAATCATGACACACAAATCCTCCTGTCCTCATGTCTGGGAAGAAACCACATCTTTAAGACTTTACAAAAAGCAGATATGGTTGGGGCTATCTGGCTCTTTTTCTTTTTCCTAGGTTCGGCTACTTACCAAACCTGAGCACCCAGATTTGTAGCACCCAGCATATTTCCTTTCTTCTCCCGGCAAACCCCTATCAGTTTGCACCAGTTTCCCCATTTCCCCAGGTGTAACGGGGCTGTGAGAATAAACTTGGGAGATAGGAGGAACAGCCGCAGCCTAGACAATGGTCAGAATAGAGATACCTCAGCCCACTGAAGGAATGGGAATGGAGAAAGTGTCTCAGAAGGGACCCTCCCTAGTTCTCCGGAAAGTAAAGACAGGGGAGGGGGGAAGCGCTTTCAGACTTGCAAGATTCTGTTACTGTAACCTTACAATAAAAGTAGTGCTAGTACTCATGGTTTTTGGTTTCCTATCTGGACTACCTGGTAGGGCTGATACCAGGTTACTGCAATCTCCCAGGTCACAGAAAGAATGGGCAAAGTTTGGCTGTTCACACAAAGTTAATTATGCACTGGGCCGCCTTTCATCTTAAATAGTAAATAGTAAAACTACCTATCTATAAAACGAAGAGCTAATTATGGTAAAGAGAGCCTGTTTGATATAGTGGTTAAGGCAGGAGGCTAGAAACTGGGAGACTGGGCGTTCTAGTCCCGCTTTAGGCACAAAGCCAGCTGGGTGACCTTGGGCCAGTCACTCCCTCTCAGCCCTGGGAAGGAGGCAGTGGCAAATCACTTCTGAAAAAGCTTGCCAGGAAAACTGCAGGGACTCGTCCAGGCAGTTGCCAGGAGTCAATTTTGACTCAGAGGCACCAAAAAAACAAAAAACACAAGCCTATAGCAAAAAATGCATCCAAAGGTAACTTAGACTGCCTGGGCAAATAAATAAGTCTGGAAAAGACTATAAACTGTTGGGAGGCAACGGAATTTCTCTCTCTCAGGACAGTGTTCCAAAGTCAGAGCAAAGTCCCAAATCAGCCAGGGGGTCCCTTCTCCTGTTTCTGACTGCTGCCTCAAGGAACTCATCCATGTGGTTCTGAACATAGTCAGGGAAGGGGAAACTGATTGGAATTGTCTAAAATGGCATGAAGGCTTCCTTGTGCTGGAAAAGGACTTCTAATTTCATCTATTGCTGGGTAATCTCCCATTCAGGTAGTAACCCATCCAACCCTGCTTAGTTTTTTGAGATCAGCCAAGGCTGCCACAGAGCTGGGCCACAGGTAAGAGCCTGTAACCTAATTCCATGAACCAGGTTGCTTCAAGAGGCTTTTTCGTGATGTTTTAGGGGTTAGCACTGAGATAATAAAGATAACAATAATTGGGTAGCTGTTTTGGGTCACAATTCTTTTTGAAATTATCAATGGCTTTCCTTTATCCTCCTCCTATAGTTAAAGATGGAATTGTATCTCTGACTGGGGGCTAAGGGAGAAGGGGCTGCAGATAAGAACTCAGAGAGCCGTGGTTTTATGACAACCTCAATGATCTTGTATAGGGGGCTTCCCACACCAAAGAAGGAGAGAAAAATCGTTGATGAAAAAGAAATGCTGGAGATCCTCTCCAAGGTACCCAAGAAAGACTTTGAGAGGATCTGCATGGAATATGGTTTCACCGATTTCAGAGGACTTCTTAAAAAGCTGAAGGAGATGAAGAAAAAGGAAGTTGAGGTCAGTCATGAGGCCCAGACCTTGGATTCTTGAGTTGCCTTACATGTCTGTCATAATTTAAGTGCAGGGCAATAATTTTCTTTAAAAGTGATCTATATGCTATCTGTATGCTATGGGGAAATGATTAGATTAGGCTAAAACATCTCAGATTTGACACTTAGAAAGAATCTTAAAATATACCTGGAATTCAGAGCTTGAATATTATGAATAGAAATCAGTAAAAACTTTAGGAAAAAAAACATAATTTTATACTAGAAGAGCTCTCTATAAAAATATCACATGTCAAGGTAGCTTTGCTAGTTTTGCTACAACAGATTATCTTTGCCTTGCTTGGCATGCAAGTTCTTTATACAGAAACATTCTAGTATGTTATAATACAATTGATCCCTTTGCAAATAAAAGCAAAAATAGAAAAGTGATTGTCAGCAGTTCCTACCTGCTTCTTTAGCCCCCTGCCAAATAAATAAATAAATCCTTGCTGGAGATTTAAATTCAGCAGGAGCCCCTGCTGGAGATTGCACTCCTGAGCATATGCAGAATGCTAAAGGGATTCCAAGTAATTAAGTAGCAGCAGATCCCATGCAAAAAACAAAATACTCTTAATATCCTTGTCTTGGATGCAGAGTATAGGCTCAGCCCAGCAATCAGTGAATACTAACAGACATTCATCATATTTGAACTAAAAAGTAAATTTATTTAGAAATACATAGGATAGGAAAGCCTTGTTTTTATCTAAACTGCCTCTTGAAGAGAAAGTCAAGAGACAAAAAGAATGAGAGGAAGTTCTGTTTTATCCAGGAATCTCTGCAAGGCATGGTCAAAAAAGTCAACATGGGGGCTGTGACAATGCAATGCAAGCCTGTTCTTTATGTGCAACACATATTTTAAAAATGAACAGAGATTCAACCACACCACTGCAGACTCCATCTTGGCTTTTTTATCACACCCTGCAGACCCCCCTGATTTTGTCTCTTAAACACAGAGAGAGAGTAGGCTAGGGAGAGACAGGGACAGGATTTGAAGACCCTTCCGCTTCTCCATCTCTCAGCATTTGCCCCGGTGCTCAAACAGCTTGCAGGTACAGAGATGATGCCATCTCAATTTTGCTACAGCAAAACTAGTAAACTAATCTTTATTTTGGTCAAAGACCAGCACTATATGACAAAACAAACCACCAGCACAGTAGCAAGTAAAATTTTAATGCTACAATTAAGCTATCAAGGTAATCAAGTGCGCTCTATAAAGGCAATTTGGTTAGTGGACCTTGACACTCCAAACTCTAAAACCAGGCCCAAGAGTCTGGTGCACAACAAATAGTGTCTTTTGTAACCATACAAAAGATGTATATAAAACTTCTGCCAGAATATATTTGTTGGCTTGAAGATTCTGAAAGATTATTAGCTCCTGATTCTCTCTTATACGCACAACAAAATACAGACTCACACACAAAGTTCAGCTGTTTCTTTTTTTTGCCAGAAGCTGTCACAATGTGGCATCATTACAAGTAGTATTAGAAATGGATTAAAAGGAAAGTATTAAGGCACAGGCTTAAGAGATCTATGATCAATTTCATATATTCAATATGGATGTTAAATGGGTTACATAAATAAGGTTAAAAATAAATATAGGAAATTACCTAGAGATTGATCTATTTTTATGTTACAGGCTGTAAAGATTCTAAAACCCTTGGAGGATGTTTCGGCGAAGGTGGACTCTACAGCAATATTTGACTGTATTCTGGAACTCAGGGATGCCAATGTGAAGTTGACATGGCTAAAAGTAGCTATTTTTTATTTATTGTAACTGAAATGAAAGATGGTGGGTGAGAGCAAAGGGCTATCTGCTAGAAGCTTTGGTCTATAGCAAGATGAGCAATCCTTTCCATTTTGGGGACTGAATCTGGTGCTTGGTTGCGGGTTAGAAGTTGCATCTATGTGGACAAGTTACACACAATAGATACATTCATTCCAACCATCATACACACTTTCACAATTGCTGCAGGCGAGAAAGCCTTATGCCATTGTGTCCCAGCATTTCTTCCCAGGTTTCCTTGAGTCTCTTGTGAAGACTAATGGACAACAGTCAGCCTAGGCAAGTTTGCTAAGATGGAAGACAAAACCTCATCTCCTTTCCTAGCAACACTGCTGTCCATCACTGCTTCTCCACAGCTAATTGTTGTTAAGGAACAACAATACTGAGTGGGGTCAGTGGAGGGATTGAGCAAAAATCTCTACCACTCAATCTCTCCCTACCATCTGACCTTGTTAGCCTTTCATAAGGCTCTGAAGACCTGGCTGTTCCCCCAGGCTTTTGGGCCAAACAGGTGAGCTTTCTTGGTGATGGTGATGTGGTTTTATCCAGACGTTATTGTTTAATTGGAGCATCAGGAGTTTATATTTTTGTGATGGTTTTAATCCTCATATACCATCCAGAGTCACTGCTGTGAGGTTGATGACTCAATCAATCAATCAATCAATCAATCAAATAAATAAATAAATAAATAAATTTTAGCCTAATCAGACAGACATGCAACAAGTGGGCACAGCTGTATCTTGCAGGTTGCAGTGGTACAACCAAGGGCCAAATATGGCTTGAGATTGTCCAGCTTGTGGTCTAAAGCCACCTTGTTGAGTAACTACTTCTGCAAGCCAGTTAAAGTCAAGGGCAAGAAAACTTAATTTATATTCCAGGAAAAGGGGGGAGGGGGATTACCTGCAGTATAATGCAGGCCCAGAGGAAATTGCTCTGGGTTTTGTCTCATTTTTTTCATTTTACTGGCCTCATAGAATGCATTAGCTATGATATTGTGATGGAATGGAATTAAGAAGGCCAGACTCAGGGAGAAAAATGTTTTCTTTCATCTCCTGAGGCGAGAGGGAGAGATA